ATGGAGCCTTCACTGCGCGAAAGGAAACCCGAGCCCAGATGAACCGTGAAACCGAGGAGTCCAGGTTTCCAGCACGCCTGCTATTGAAAGAGCATCTACAGCGAGCAGAAGATGGGAGGTGTTCTCATGCTGAGAGCCAGACCCCCGGAGTCACCCCCACGTCATTCAGCGCCTCCGTCACTAACACCAGGAACAGAAAAATAAATGCTTCCTTTCCTTTCTGTTTCCATTTATGTGACAAAAGTCCCCTTGGCCCAGTATATTAGAAAGCAGCTCCGAAAGTCTAGAAAGAGAGTTTTGTTATTGTTGCTTTTTGTTTTGTCTTGTTTTTTTTGTAGGTTTACAGCCCCGATGTTAGAGAAAATTTTATTGTGATTATGATGCTAGAGAATAATATCACCCAGAGTGGATAGTGCATGAAGCTGATAGAACATTTACAAGCCTTACCGTGCCTCGCAGAAGGACATCCTGCCTTTTGTGATAGTATGGATGAAGGAGGACATCATGCTGACTGAGATAAACTAGAAACAGAAAGTAATGCGTGATCCCACTTACATGTGGAATTCACAAAAGGCCTAACTCAGAGGAATAGAGAGTAAAATTGTGTTTGCCAGAGGCTGGTCGAAATGGGGAGATGTTGGCCAAAGGGCAAACTTTCAGTTATAAGAGTAGTAAGTTTTGGAGGCATAATGTACATACAGGAGGGTACTACAGTTAATAATAGTGTGTGCTTGGAAATTACTGTGACTGTAGATATCAAGTGTTCTCATCACACAAAATATAACTGAGGTGCTGTATATGTTAATTAGCATAATCATTTTGCATTGTGTATGTATATCAAAATATTTACACCTTAGATATATACAATTTTTATTTGTCAATCATACTTGAGTAAATCTGGGACAAAAAAATGATAATAGAAAACAAAGGATCTTACACTTATTTTTAAGTAGATGAAGAGAGCCCAAAGTTTTAAGTTACTTTCTGAGACAACTTTGAAAAAAATGTGAAAAATAGTCACATTTATCCGAGTCACCTTGGTACACACCAATTTAGTCTATTAGTAAATTTACCTCTGTGTCATGAAATACAATCTATGATTGCCTCCTTTGGGTGGAAGGCATTTAAGATGACCTGTTACTCTTGTACTATTTTTTTAAAATTTCTGATTAATCTCATTCATTTCCCTGACTTAAGCCACCATGTAAAAAGCCTCTGTAAGCAAAGGACACCATCAGCGGAACAAAAAGGCAACCTACAGTATGGGAGAATGTATTCCTAAATTATATATATAATAAGGGGTTAACATCCAAAATATGTAAAGAACTCATATGCCTCAACACCAAAAATAAATAACCCAATTAAAAAATGGACAGAGGACCTGAACAGATATTTTTCCAAAGAAGAAATACAGATGACCCATAGGCACATGAAAAGATGCTCCACATTGCTGTTTATCTTGCAAATGTAAACTACAAAGAGATACCACCTCACACCATTTAGAATGGCCACTATCCAAAAGACAAATAGCAAGTGTTGGTGAGGATGTGGGGAACAGGGAACACTCCTACACTGTTGGTGGGAATGTAAGTTGGTGCAATCACTGTGGGAAGCAGTATGGAGGTTCCTCAATAAAAGTATAAATAGAAATAATATATGACCCAGTAATTCCACTTCTAGGAATTTTTATGAAGAAAACAAAATCTCTGATTTGAAAAGATACATTCACCCTTATGCTTATTGCTGCATTATTTACGATAGCCAAGATATGGAAGCTATAGATAAATGGATAAAGAAGTGGTACATATAATGGAATACTACAGCGATAAAAAAGAAATCCTGCCATTTGTAGACATGGATGGACCTAGAGGGTATTTTACTAAGTGAAATAAATCAGGTGGAGAAAAACAAATAGCATACAATTTCACTTATTTTTGGCATCTAAAAACAAAATAAAACAAAGTGAACCAAATAGCAGTAGACTCTGAGAAGTAACTGGTGGCTACCATGGGGGAGGGGTTTGGGTGGGTTAGTGGGGAGGGGGTGAGGAACAGAGGTGCACAGAATCTCAGTGTAAGTTGGTCACAGGGTTGGAAGTGCAGCTGGAGAATATAGCCAATGGTTCTATAACATCATTCTACATTGACAGAGTAACTACAGTAGGGGTGAGGATTTAATAATGTGGGTAACTGTTGAACCACTGTGTAGTGTGTTTGAAACCAATATAACATTGTATATCAACTATATTTCAATTTAAAAAAAAATCTGGATACATGGATTCTTGTGACTGGTCCCAGTTGTTTCCCTAAACAGTAATATTACCGCGTTTCTCAATGATATCTTCCTTAAAAATAAGATCTAAATCTTTCACCTACTGCTTAAAGAAGCTTTAAGAAGGGTAGGGCAAATTTCTATATATTTCATATGAAAGGTTTTCACAATGTGGACATGGCTGAGATTCTGCCACACTCTCTCTTCTCTGCAGATCGTGTTACATAGTACTGAATTGTAAATCAAGGTGGTGGTATGCTTTTATGTATCTTTCTGTCTACAGTTCATGAGCTCTTGGGGAGAAGGAAAATACCTATAATCCTTTGTATATTGGGCACCTAGCCCTGTGCTTGCCTACAGTGAAATCTTAATTCATTGATGTGCTGCTGAATTTGGTTTACAATAGTTCTTTGTTCAGGGTGTTTCCATGTATGTTTATTGGTTATTGACTTTTAGTTTTCTTTTCATGTAGTGTCCTTGCTGACTTTGGTTGTAGAATGACACTGGTCTCATAAAAAGTTTGCATGTCTTTCTTTTTCTTTTTTTGTTTTTGAAAGAGTTGAGAAGGATTGGTATTAATTCTCCTCTGAATGCTAGGTAGAATTCACCTGAAATTATCCAGTATGAGGCCTTTCATTTATGAGTTTTTAATTATAGATTCCGTGTCTTTATTTGTTACTGGTCTGTTCAAACCTTGTTTTCACTTGATATAGAGTTGGTAGGTTGTATATTTCTAATAATTTAGCCATTTCTTCTAGGTTTATCAGTGTTGACATATGGTTTCATAATAGTTTCTTTTCCTTTTTTAATTTTGGTGGTATCTTCTACTTCTGATTTTATTTATTTTATTCTTTTCTCTTTTTTCTTAGTTATTTTACCTAAGGGTTTGTTGATACTTTCAGAAATAAACTGCTAAAAAATTTCATAGCGGTCTGTTGTTTCTGTTCTTTATTTCACTTGTTTCTTCTTTAATCTTCATTATTTTTACTTCTGTTAACTTTGAGCTTAGTTTATTTTTCATTTCCTAGTTCTTTGAAGTGTAAATTTGGTTGCTTATTTGAAGTCTTTTTTAAATGTAGGTGCTTATTGTTACAAACTTCCCTCTTAAGACTGCTTTTGCATCCTGTGTTTGTTGGTATATTGTGTTTTCATTTTTCGTTGTTTTGAGATATTTCCTAATTTTCTTCTTTGTCCTAGTGTTCAAGGGGCTGTTGTTTAATGCTAGGCATTTGTGAATTTTCCAGGTTTCTTCTTGTTACTGATTTCTAGTTTCATTCCATCATGGTTGGAAAAGATACTTGGAGTTACTCCAATATTCTGAAATTTAAGACCCATTTTGTGGCCTAACATGTGGTCAATCCCACAGAATGTTCTGTGTGTGCTTGAGAACAATGTGTATTCTTGCTGCTCTTGGGGACAATGTTCTGTATGTCTGTCATGTCCATTAGGTTTATAGTGTTGTTCAGGTCAGCTGGTTCTTTACTGACTTTCTGTCTGGATGATCTATTACTGAAGGAGGGGTATTGAGGCCTCCTACTGCAATTGTATTGATGTCTGTTTCTCCCTTCAATCTTATCAATGCTTGCTTTATACATTTAGGTGCTGTTATTGATTACATTCATAACTGTTTTATCTTCCTGATCATTTCACCCTTTTATCACTATGTAATGTTCTCCTTTGTTTCTTGTGAAACTTTTACCTTGAAGCCTGTTTTCTGTGCTCTCTTTTGGTTGCCACTGAATGAAGTATCTTCTCGCATAGTTTCACTTTCAGCCTATTGTGTGTCCTTAAATCTAAAATGAGTTGCTTGTAGACAACATAGAGTTGGAGCGGTTTTGTTTTGTTTTTCATCCAATAGCTACTCTTTATCTTTTGATTTGAATTTAATTCAGTACATTTAAAGAATTATAGGTGAGAACTTGCTGTTGCCATTTTGTTGTTTTCTGTCAGTTTTATATTTCTTTTCTTTCTGCTGTCTTCCTTCTGGATTCTGTTTTAGTCCATTCAGGCTGCTAAAATAAAAATATATAAATGGGATGGCTTATAAACAATAAGTATTGAGGCTGGGATGTGCCAGGTGCTGCCAGATTCAGTGTCCGCTGAGGACCCACCTTCCCGTTCACAGGTATCGCCTTCTAGCCGTAACGCCACATAGCGGAAGGGGCCCGGGAGCTCTGTAATGTCTGTGAAGATCCCAAGTCCTGTTCATGTGTGGTCCTGCCTCATGACCTATGCACAGACCGGAGACCTCATTTCCTCGCACTGTCACATAGGCGGCGCAAACATTCAGTCCATAGCAGATTTTATATATTTTTCTGTAGTGATATTCTTTGCTTGTTTTTTATCTTTTTTATATCTACTATAGATATTATCTTTGTGCTTACCATGAGATTTGTATAAAAATTCTCTGACTTTTGACAATTCAATTATAATTCAAATATAATGTATGAACACCTTTTTGTTTCACTAATTATTGCTATTTTGTTGTATGTATTTTTTAGATTTTCTATGTGCTTAATCATGACATTACATAAATTCTTTCTTCTCTTTCTTTCCTGTGTTTTTTCTTCTATTTCTTTCTTACATTATTTCACTGTCAGGATACTCAAGAAAATGCTAACTAGAAATAGTAATAGAGTGAATTGTTTTTTTTTTCCTGTCTAAAAAAAATGGTTTAAATAGTCTTTATGTGTGATCATTGACATAATGCTGCTTTTTCTTTTTTTTAGATAACTATTTGTAAAAGAAGTTCCCTGCAACAACTACCAACAGCAGCACTTCTATTAAGGTAGTAACATGTTATTTTTTACATTTTCTCCTATTAATGTGGTAAATTTATATCAATTGATTTTCCAATGTTAAAAAATGTTTATTTTCCATTCCTGCAAAACACTACAATTTTTAATGATGGATTTTGATTTTCTTTATCACTGGATTTGATTTGCTAATATTTTGGTAAAGATCTTAACATATATTTATAGTAAAAATGCATTTACGTTTTATTTTTATTGTTGTAACGTTCTTGTCAGGATTTTATATTAAGGTTAACAGTTGTGATAAAATGAGTTTGAAATTATCTTTTTCAATCCTCTTCAAATACTTGAATAATACTGATGTTATTACCTTCAAAAATATTTAGAATTCACTGATGAAGTTATTGGGATTTCTACTTTTCATTTATGAAAGTTTTTAGTAACCAGTTTTATTTCATTAACAGAGACTAAATTATGTGGAATTGTACTTATTATTTTTTACATTATAATTATGTTTTTGAAAGCATTTATTCATTTCCACTTTCAGACTTTTCAAAGCTCATCATAATATTATCTTAGTATCTGTTGTGATGTTCCATTTAAGGGATTTTCTTTCTGTTTTAAGAGCCTCATGTTTTTCTATCTGAGCTAGCCAAATGCTCATGGTTTTTATTTTCTGTTTGAACAGTATTAGTTGGACTTACAAATTAATATTTGCAAAGCTTTTATTGACTCTGTTTTTGTTCCTACTTTGTTAGTTTTATTGATTTCTGTTCCTTTATTATTTTGCTTTACTGCTTGGATGTTGTTCTCCTAGGCTATGAAGGCCCCTCTGAGCTTCTTTAGCAGCATATAATGGGCCTTAATATATTTTCATTAGCATTCAGGTTAAAATATTTTCTGTTTTCATTAATGATTCCTTTTTTTAATGTTGGGTATTTAGAAATAACTTGTTTGATTCCAGTCTGTTGAAGATCCTCCCATCTTTTGAATAATATCGATGCATTGTAATGTATTGAAGCTTGCTTTATAAACTAACATATGGCCAGTCATGGAAAAAGTTACGTATGTTCTTGAAAAGCATGCACACTCTATTTTTAAAATATTCTGATAATCATAGGAATTATATTTACAACAACATTTTCAATATTATTTGTTATATATTATTGTCTTTTTGTATGTTTCATGTATTTAATGTGCTTTTGTGTTTCTTGCTTTTAATCATTTTTAATTAAAAAAAAATTTCCAATATACTAATTTCGTAGATACAAATGCAACTGCCATGCTTTAAGAAGTGTTAAAAATATATTCTTGATGTACATGGCCTAGCCTGAGGGAGAGTGTATTTTTATTTTCTTTATTTATATGAAATCACTTTGTGCCTCTGGTAGCTTAGCTTAGAATTGCTCTACATTTTTAAATGCTGTCTCACAAAATGTATTACCTGAGTCTTGCAGGTTTTGTTCACAGTAACTGTTATGAAATTTAATTCTTCCTTTTGGTTTTTGTTGTCTTTAAATAATAATTTCTTAAACTGTGTAAGGTTAGTTGCAAATAATGGAAACCTACCCCGACTTCCTGAATCTCAAATGGCAATGTTGGGGAGAGGCGGGTCAAAGGAACTCAGAGCGTTTCTAGGCAGTTGCGCTTTGACGGTTACTTCTTGCTTATCATTTTGCGTCCGGTTCCTGTGTAAGCTGCTCTCTGCACATTCATGTGCTTGCCGTGCTTGGAGGGCTATGCAGTGGCCAAAGTATATCACAGTGAAAAGACCAAAACTGCCCCAACGTGCTGGTGACATTTCAGGTCAGTGCTCACCAGCAACCAATCAAGTTGGTGTCTGTAGTCTTTCGTTTGGTGGGCCGGCTCCCTCTGGCTTCTCAGTCCCACCTGGCATCATCAGCTATGGCAGGAGGCCAGCTTCGCCTGGCGCGTGCGAGGTTGTGGAGATTATGTGATAGGGTGTGTGGTGCTTCAGAACCCTGAAACAAGTTGTTAGGAAGGAGGCAATGAGGACTTTGTATTTGACCCTTACATGTTACATCTCATTTAAGATTATTTTCACACTATTTTAAGGTTTAGAATATCTTTTGGCTGTCCTTTTCATTTTATATTTGAGCATTATTATACTTGCAAATTTGGTACAGATAATTATGTTTTCTAGGTAATGAAATATTATTAAATAGAAAGTAATTTATTTCTATAGTCAACAAAAAGTTCCATCTTATAAATGAGAAGACAAATTTGAGAAATATCCTGTAAATGAAAATGAATTTCCCTAATATTTTCAATACCTCCTGTACTATGTTCTTTCTCTGAGGGCATGCACTTTAATATCTTATATCTTGCTATTAGTGTCATCCACTTAAGGGACTAGAAAAATATGTATGATATAATATAAATTGTTATATATGTAATATATATCTATGAATATTAAGGGTTAAGAATGTCATACTCATTAAAGATGTACTCATATTGTTTAGAACAGTGAGATTGTGAGAAATGACTGGCTTTAGGGGCATCTCAAATACTTCACATTTGATATAAATTAAGATAAACTTTGGAAATTCTATAACCAGTATTTTAGGGTCAGAGGTCTAACTGTTCGTCTTTAAATTCAATCCATATATCTGACTACTTTACACTTTATTGTAATAAGGTAAACATTTTGGAAAAGACAAATAATATATAACATTACTATGAAAATGCTTCCTGATATAGCCTATTGTGTTTAAATTGTTGTGATTATCCTTCAAAACAGTCAATTCTGTTTTCATTGTTCCCAAAAGTATATTTTATGTAGCTCTCATTTTCTTAAGACATTAGATTTTATTAGGTGAGTAAATTTTAATAAATATAATTTAACATTTGTTCACAAGTGTTTTTGATTAGGCTTATGGTTATTTGTAAAAGCATCTGGGTAGAGCGTTGCATTAAGTACAAGCACTGGTCCTAGGCAACGTGTGAAGCAATCAGAGTATTCAGCACTCTATCCATCTTATTTTGTAGATTCTTATGTCCTTTTCAAAATTTCTACCTCAAAAGCCCAGTTTTTATTTGCTTTTCTTCTCTCTGTTTTCCTTTCCGTAAGTCAGCATCAGGGCCATCTTAGATAGCATAGGATGTAACCCTGGCCTCAGGTACTATACACTGTTTCCTCAGGTGTGTAACCTTGAAGATATACTCCAGCTCTCTAAAGTCCATCTGTAAAATGGACATAATAATACTACTGAACACTTAATTTCGCAATGGGAATGAGGTATGCATATTAACATTTTAACATAGCATTTGGAACAACATAATTATTCATTGAATGTTAACTGTTGTTTGAGTGGGCATTTTGGTAACACATAGTAACAACATAGTCTCAACAGTGTAACTGCTCAAACAAAATATCGTGTCGTCTCTTGGGTAGTGCAGACTGTATGTCACCGTTTGGAATGTGGGCTTTGTTTCTTAGAGTCGTGCAGCCACCCAGCCCTTCTTGCTTCCTCTCCCTGTCTGCCTCCCACCGCTCCCCCTTCTCTTCTTCCCGTTCCTGATGTTGGTTATGGTCCTTCCTTTACAGGTATTACTGTAATTTACTCTTTGGAGTTCCTCTCTCATCCGGAATTCTATCTCATTAGAGCTCTCATGTGATAATACGATCCAACTAATTCAGGCCTGCGCTATGATAGGTGCCATATCTTTCACTGCTCACCTTTTAAAGGAAGCTTAGGGATCTGAACACAAATCAGTAGCAAATCAGGTTGGGCATCACCTGGGAAGTGCCAGTTGGAGAGCATGTTTGAAGAGAGCTGTTCTAGGAGTCACGTCACTCTAGCAGCTCCCCATCGGCCTAGCCCTACGGTCTCTGGTTCTACTTTTTCAAGATACGTATGCAACTTTTTGATCATTCTTCTCTATTCTTAAGTGACTACACTAATAAAAAATGAAGATTGGAAACATTAGAAAAGCTCTCAGAAGAATAATCAGCATTTTATTCATTAGTTGTTCATTTACTAATTATTATTTAATTTGAAAAAAAATGAAACAATCAGAAAATAATCTCCACAAGTTTAACTTTCAAAACTGTTAACCTATCCACAGAATTACCTGCATATTCTGCATTCTCCTCGTTACAATGGATGAATGCTTTGTAACCCTACGTAAGTAAGGCCTCTTCCACACTGGAGTCTAGTCCCCCTCTGAGGGACGGATGTGCTCACACATCTTGAATCCCTTCTGTGGATGCGCCTTTATAATATGTAAGGGTCTTCAAAGCAGAGCTCAGGGCAGCGCCTGCTGCTAAGCATCCAGGGAGGTACTGCCAGCATAAACATACTGTTTTGACTTTTAACCTATGTGCATTAAGCATCTTACACCTTCTCTGAAAAGCCAACATAGTGTTTGATGATGCAAAGGCATCACTTCACTCTCAAGTGATCATGGAATCACACCACTTGTGTACAAATAGAAAAAATCTGGAGAGACTTTAAAATGTTCTGATACCTGGACATTTCTCCCAGAGATTAAACTTGGACACTGGTGCCACCCAGGTACTGATACATTTTGAAGATGACTAGGGGATTCTAATTACAGTGAAGGTTGAAGATCAGCAGATTGTATATAGCACCTATACTCCTGATAGTTTTATATATTATTAGGTTATATAAAGCAAGTTATGAATGTCCTACATTGTGTTCTTCTTACAAAGGAAAGTGGACGGACAACAGAAAACACTAATAACAACAACAATAAAAACTATTCTGCCCATCAGTCAACACTCAGATCTCCATCTGTAGTTGGAAGGAGGTTTCCTCATTCAAGCAGACAGAGGAGACTGCACCCGACTTACAGGCACTTGGAGAAATGACTCGATTGGTCTAATGTAGGTGAGAGACACATCACTGTTCAAAGAGGTAGGAGGAGGCTGAGTGGAGCAGTTCAGCCCTGGCCCTGTGTTCAGCTGTCTAGGGAACCACGTAACAATAAGGCTTATGAAAATACCGAACATGCAATTCTAATGGAACCAATTTCAGTTCTGTTGTTTTAATGT